TATATATAAGGGGACACGGTTAAAAAGCGAAAGCCGCATTGCACAGTTCTATGAGGGGGTTCTTTTTATGGCTAATACCTTGGGTTCTATTAGGATATGGGATTCCAATAGGGGACACTTAGTAGTTGTAGTTAGTGGACAAACATTTGCGTCGCTTCTTCTGAAGCTGCTCAATCTGTTCCACGATTTCTGTACGCGTTTGGAATGCTTTCACGACGCATTCGCAAGTGAGAGCAGTGGCAATAAACTGATTAATGGATATGTGCCAGGCATCGGAGGTGTTTGTCGCGCTGCTGCTGCCGCTGCCGCTACTGTTATTGGTTGTCGTCGCTGTTCCTGCTGCTTCTGCCTTTGCCTGACGCAGCTCCTCCTCTAGAGCGACAAATAGACGCGTTGTGCTGCTGGGCTCTGCAGCGGGTGTTGTAGGATTTCCATTGCTATCCGGTTGCTGAGATAATAAATATAACGATAATTAATAATTTTCTTCCTAATCAATATACAATTTTTAGTCACCTCATCACCACTGCCACCTAAGTTAAGCTGCGTGAAGCTCTCCAGGCTGGGTTCTTTCTTGATATTGCTATTGCCCATTTCAATGAGATTTTCGTCTGTCAAAGGAAACGGATTAGAACTGCGTTGGCTCACGGTTGGTTGCCTACTTACATGCACATCGCATTTCTTCATCTTGAACGCAACCCATGATCTCTATGATACTGCGCCACAGCAGCTGGAAATTCTCCTTGCGCATGTGCGGCACATGTCGATGCTTTCCGCTTGCTGAGGCACTCTCATCCGGCTGATCCAGCAAGTAGCCCAGGCTGCCCAAGCTGCGTGTATCCGTTGCATTCGAATCGGCACGATCTAGACGAGTGGCCGCGACCAGATCGCTTATTTGAGAGAAATTCGATATAGTCTCAACGTTCAGTAGCAGTTGGTCTGAAGCTGTAGCGGCTGCTGCTGTCGTCGATGTTTGTGGCGGAGTTATACGGGCCGCACCCAGATCTGAAATATCCGAAAAAGTGTCAATCGATTCGTAACGTCCCTGCTGGCGTAGGCCGATGTCGTTGTCGTCATCCTGCCCAGCATCTGTGCGTGTTGCAGTACCCTGGAGTGCAGCGGGCAGATCCACATAAAATGTCGAGTTGCGCTGCGCCAGAGACGACGCATTCGAATTGAGTGAAAGATTCGGCGTTGTCCGGGACAAATCCATGAACGTGTTGCCCGAGATGCCAGCCAAATTATGCAAATGCTGAGTGGCGGTGATCAGCGCATAGTCATCGGCATCAAAGTTGTGATCCGATGGAGACGGCAAAGCTTCAATGGATTCTGAGGCATCCTCACTGTAAAACAGAACTGAATTAGTAAACCCAAATGAATGATGCAAAACTAATTACTCAAAGAAATCCTCTGCTTCAAATGCCTCATCGGCATCGTCCTTGATCCGAGGACGTGGACGTCGAGTGCGTTCTATTTCCGCTTTCGAGAGTAGCGGTGGCAAATGCAATACAAAGAGAAGCTTCAATTTTTCCATGCTCTTGGTGGAGCACACTAAGCCAAAGGCATTGATTAGCTGACCAAAGTCCAATTGTCCAGTGCCTTTTTTGTCCGTCAGCTGTCAAAAGATTTAGATTAGATTGAATCGAATATACGTATTGTGTTTTAACAACCTACCCTAAATAGTTTCTCGCCAATGTCAACGCTGACGCACTTGCGCCACGGCGTTAGCTCAGAGAAGAGTGTGTGGAATACCTCAAAGTTGACACAATAAGCCTCATGGCGTCCACTGCCGCCACCGGGCATAATGTCGCCGACACCACTACGTGATGGCGACTGATGATGCGGCAGCAGCTGCGGCGCCTCACTCATGTGACACTGCGCCTTCTGCTGCTGCTGTTGCACAGACTTGAGGTTGAGTTTCTCCTCTCGTATGATCGTGAGGAGCATATGCAGCTCCTGGCGATTAAAGTAAGCATTCTGCGCATGGGCCTTCACAATCGTCTTCTCGTTGTCAATGTCGAACTGGCGCACGGTGAGGCGACGATGCTTGTTGCGCAGCTCCTCGATGCGCTGCTGCGTCAGTTCCTCACCAAATTTCGTATATGCCTCGTGGATGAGAGTCTGCACAGTTTGGGTCTGTGGTCGCTCAAGTTTGCGCTTGTCCGTGGACGGTGGCACTTGGTATTCGGGATTATATATGCCTTCCAGATAGGTTTGCAGTACCAGCATGGCCTCGCCATCGTCCTGACATTGAAGAAGCTTGTCGCGATTCCACTCGATGATTTGAAGGGAGATCATGAAAATTATCTTGGCGCCCTCGTAGAAGAAGCAGTCCAGTATTTGCAATGAGCTTTCGTAGCTGATCACACTTATGAATATGGTAAGGAACCACGAGATGGAGATCATTTTGATAACGCCAAGACGTTCCAAATGCTCATGCAAATCCGACAGATGCGTCTCCACCAGCTCATTCAGCACGCCCTGGTCGATCTGGGCGCCCACAACCTTGTCCTTGTAATAGTCTGGCAGCAGATTCTCGCACAAGCTGGCCAGCATCCAGAATGCATTCTCCTCATCACAGAACAGCAGAAATACTGATGAAACAATGTTCATGGCCTGACAGTAGCCCACCTGTGGATTGCGCAGTGCATATGCTTGGAGTACACGTCTCAAGGCACCGATGCCATCTGTGCACTGGAATGCCGGATGTTCGGGCAGCGATCGAGGCAAGTCCCTATCGATTTCATCGTGCGCAAAGCAATCCTTAATACACGCAGCTTTCTCCACCAGATCCTCGTACAGGCCGGGATTCATTTCCTTGTCGTGTATAGCACCCGAGAAGATCAACCAAATCTCCTGCCTCAATTTGTCCGGTATGCCCTCCACAATTAAATTAATCACATCTGTGGTGCGAAACATTGCAATGCCACGTCCAAAGTCACGGAAATGATCCTCCCAGCGTGCCAGTTTTTGTTCCTGTTTCTTCTGTATGTCCGCGCTGAACTGCGTCTTAAATGTATTGAGCAAAGCTGTCTGCTTGCTCCAGGATATATCGTACTTGGCACGTTCGCGGCTGATCGGTCTGTAAGTGGGATTTATAAAGATTACAATGCCGACTCCATTCTATAAAAGCTTACATATGAATGCGCGAAAGCAGATCTGTGATCTTTGAGATGAGCACTTCGCGATCCGTAATCTTGGCGAACATAAAAGGCACATTCTCCGATGTAAAGATGACAATTTGATTGTCATAGCGTTGCTGACCATCGTCCTTCTTTTCAACGCTCTGTGATAAAATATAGATAATTTAAAGTGATATATTTGCAGATTAATCGAAAACCCCATACCTTAATAGTTTTCATTGGTATTACGACGCTAACCAAATCCTTGACATCGCTGCGAAAGCAAAAGAAATTCGGTGACAAGTAAATATAGCCCGCATTGAATCGCTTCGAGTACGGCGTCCATATATCGGCTTTGATTTTGCCATCAATAATTTCTGTCTGTGGCAGACGAAAGTAAACGCGAAATTCCTCAGATTTTTGGCGTGCTGTCAAATCACGTAGCAGGACAGGCTTCTTGGAAGCCTTGGCACCATAGCGTGCAAAATTCGATGGATCATGGTCGACAACGGGACTCTCCGGGTCGTGTATTAACTTCTGGATGGCCATTTTATTAAGTTGCTCAATGAGGACGTGAGCCTCGCTCGAATTGAAGAGCAATGTGAAATTATATGTCATGTTGTTGGTAGTTTTCAGATAGATCGTATTGCCACTGCGACTAATGTCCTCCAGCTCAGCGAAGCGTATGATTCTCTTGATCTCCTGGCTCAGCATGTAGGAATAGAAGCAAACATGGTTTAGGGAGATGTACAATTGTCCCTGTCGCGGTATTTTATTCTTCACATAGCTGCAATCGAAATAGTTTTGTACTATAATTAAGAAATGAAGGTTTTAGTTAATAGACGTACGTGGCTGAGTACGAGTTCACCAAGCGTTCTTCTTCGGGCATTTTGAAGATTTGTCTAAACTGCGAAGTCTTCACCTTGAAGTCTGGCGATTCACCAGTATCGTCTTGGTTGTTTTGAGTGAACAGAGATTGTATTTTACAGATGGTGAAGTTAGTCACTTCATCCTCATTTTCCATTTCGTTGAGCACACTGAATAGATTGGCCTGCAGCCATTCCCAGTCCTTGACGATCTCATCCTGTGTTATGCCAATTGCAATTTCTATTTTTGAAAACCGATAAGAATACAATTTGAGTGCATATCAATTAATAATAATAATATAATAATGGCTAAGTAGAGCAGACAGACACTTGTATGAATAGTTATCTAGTAGGCTGACACATAGTCGGAGTAGGTTAGTCATTGGATTCCGCTGCGTCTGTTGTGCTGTAGTTAATATTGGTTGAAGTAAGGTATGTATATTTTATTTTGGGTACACAGCCACTCGCCACTCTCTCTCTCTCTCTCACTCTCTCTTTTAAAATACATTCTCTCACAACATGAGGACATGAGCCCCGTATATATCTTTGATTTATGAAAATCACATAGAAGAGTGATAGCTCGTCTTCTCTCATCGCTCATTTGGAGCTTCGTGTTTCCCTCTCTAACTTCGCCAATCTTTCGTGTATTTATTGGACTCAATGATCCGAAGTAATAAATTCTTGGTTTCTTGACATAGTCTCTTTTTCCTTATCGTACTCCAAGTGCAAAAAGTCAATATTCCCTTTCGATACACATT